AAACAATGAAATTTTAGTGGGCCAATAGAGGCAATGGAATTAAATTTTAAAAAATATTGGAAACTCATTCCTTTTCTTTATTGTTTAACTGTCATATTTGATCCTAGAATTAAATTAGTGCATTTAGAAAATGGTTTAAACTCATTAGATGAAAATTTACGAGACAAAGCATATGTCAATCAACTAGAAGAGATAAGAGAGTGTCTTGCAGAGGTATATTTGCAATATGAAAATAGGTATGAGAACCAGCAAAGACACGAAATACCTGAGGAAGTAACATTAGAAGAAACAAATGAAGACTTCGACTCTTGGACTGCACTTAATAGGCCGAAGAGGACCCGAAGTCGAAGCACAATCTCCTCTTCAAAAGCATCAACAACGAATGTACCATCCTTCATGCACTACAGAGTAATGAGCTTCACCAATATTTGGGAACCTTTGACGTGCTACCAGCAAATCCACAATAAAGAGCCAACTTTGATGTCTTAAAATATTGGAAAACTAGAACATGTATTTTTCCAGTATTATCAAGACTTGCCCTGGATGTTTTCTCAGTTTCTGTCTCAACCGTCTCATCCGAACAAACATTTAGTGCAAGTGAAAGAATTTAGAATGAAAGGAGGACTAAACTTTCACCAAAAATGATTAAAGTCCTCACATGTCTTCGAGATTGGGAACGATCGCGCAATTAAGATCAATACGAGGTTATCGACGATATTTTAATAGAATCATTTCAATTTTGTAATATAAATGATATAGATGAGGGAGGTCCTAGTCAACCCCCAAATTAATTATTTTGTAAATTGTAACTTTGTAATTTGTAAATTAATTGTCCATTAATTGTACTAGTTTTTCCTTACCAAGTTTTTGTCTCAATTGGGTTTTTCTTGGTGAGGTTTTTAACGAGGCAATAATTGTTGTAATTTTTTATTTTTTATTTTTTATTTTATTTTTTGATAAATGAATAAATCTAATTTTTCTTATATTACAATTTAATTGTATTAAAATTGAATTAATATTTGAAATGTCTACAAAAAAAATTAAATTAATTGAATTATTGATATTTGAAAAATTAGCTAAAAAAATTACACAAAAGAAAGAAAATTAAAAAATTAAAAAAAGAAATTGGCCAGCCCGACTTGCACCAAAACTCGCGGGTTAGGGTTGGTGGGTCAGGCTGGGCCAACCCTTCTGGCTTAGGCTTGCCATTTCGCTTAACCTGCCACAGGGCCGGGCTGGGCGGGTTATTTTTCTGCCTTTACTTTCAATCAGGGATCGGTTAACATTGATGATAGTGACTTCGAACCTAATCCGCATCGAACGATAGGGGAAAAATGGTCAAACACATCTGGTCATGGAAGGTCGAGAAATAGGAGGAAGAGAAGCGGCCTAGGACAGGCACTTGTGGATGTCATTGACATATTGAAAGACGTGCTTGTGGAGAAGAGTATGGGATCTAGGGCTAGCAATCGCAGTCAAGATGAGGGGCACAAAGAGAACATCAGTGATCCATCTGATTCGTATTCCATGGGTCATTGCATTGACATCTTGATGTCTATGTAAGTAGCCTCAGAGTTGTACATGCCAGTTGTCAAGTACTTATATCAAAATTCAGGATGGCAGGAGATATTCGTATACCTATCATCCGAGGAAAAGGCTAATTGGATTTATAATGATTTTCGCAATTTGTAGATGAGCATGTATGTCCTAAGTGTTTCCCCACAGTTTTGTTGTGCCAGTCAACACTTACTGCTTTTACAGCTAACCCCAACTTTTTTTCAGCACCTTGATTTGAAAAATGTACCCTAATGTTTGCTATTGTATGAACTTATTCAATGTGCTATTGTTTTAATGTGAGATAACATGTTTTATATGAGTTCGGGATTGTAATTAGAATTAAACATTGAATGTTATATTTTCTTAAGTATTGCAACTGCTATGAAATGATGATCAATGTTTTCCAAATGCATAGGTTTAGATGGCGTCGTCTAGGCGTATAGAAAGAAGACGAAATACTGCAGATGACAGAGGCAGAATATTGGCAGATGTAACAGTTGCTGTGCGTTGTTGCCATATTGGAAACAAACGAGCGTCAGTTACGACATATATCCGTATTAACTGGTCATGATAACATGCTGGAAGTACTAAATGGTCATGAAGACAGAATCTTTAGGAAGTGCCGCGTGGAAAAAGACTATTTTACAAACTTATGTTACATTTTTACACAACAAGGGAAATTACGAGCAACCAGGAGGATGAGTATTGAAGAACAAGTTATGATATTTTTGACAACTATAAGTAAAAACGAGACAAACAGTAAGATGATTGAGGATTTCTAACATTCGGGTGAGACGATCTCTAGATATGTTGGTGAAGTTTACGAGGTGATATGTGAGTTGAAGATAGAGTTTATCAAGCCACCTGACTTCAGTGATGTTCCATTGGAAAATATCGACCAACCAAAAATATTACGCTTTCTTAAAGGTACTTCTTCATTATTTTTTATATTAATGGGTAGTTAAGTTCATTGTGTTATTAATGTTGATAGTCGATTCCTATTACTAAAATTCAATTTTGATGATAGGATTGTATTGGAGCCATTGATGGCACACATGTCCATGCTTGGGTTCCACAAGAGTTGACCGATAGTTATCGGAATCGCAAAGGAACGTTGTCCCAGAATGTAATGGTTGTATGCGACTTTAGGATGATGTTCACTTTTGTCGTCACTAGGTGGTAAGGATATGCGCATGATTCAAGAGTTTTAAATTCAGTTCTTGATAATCCTAATTTTGGATTCCCACATCCTCCACCAGGTATAAGTACCGTCTGTATGTATTATAGCATAGTGGCTCCATTTTTGAGGCCCTGGAATTCATATAATATATGTCATTTTATTACAGGAAAATGCTATTTGGTTGATGCGGGTTATCCAAATCGAGAGGGGTTCCTTGCCCCCTCATAAGCGAGTGCCTTACATCTTCATGATCACCACCATAACCGGAGGGGGCCAGAAGAGTTGTTTAACTACAGACATGCATCACTTCACAATGTTGTTGAGAGAACCTTTGGTGTTTTAAAAAAAAGTTCTGTATTCTCAATTGAATGAACAATTACTCGTTGGAGAAACAAGCTAAGATTGTTATGACATGTTGTGTACTTCGTAATTTTATCAGAAGGCACAATATGGAGGACCCTATCTTCCAACGGTATATTGAAAATATAGATAATGAGCAAGTATATTTTGATGTCCAAAACGACATAGAAGATGGCGGAAATGGAGAAGGATCGAGTCAACTGTAGCAACATATTATAGACGACATGGCGACTCTGCGGGATAACAATAACGACTGAAATGTGGGCAGAACATATGACTATGTCATAGTTGTTAATGGAGTATAGGTGTACAAACGATTCTAAGAGTTGATAATTAGTAGCTTTGTCATACATGTATTAATGTGGTGTTTTTAAATAGTGAGATTAGTACTTGAAATTAATATGAAAATTTTGTTTTTAATTTAGTGGTTACGAAATTACCAATCAATGTTTAATGTTATTAAAATATAAATTGATAAGTTTTTAGGTTATAATAATAAATTATTTTAACAAAATGCACCAAAATATTGTATCAATAAATTCTTTATAAAAAAATATATCAAACAAATATTCAACAATTTATTCAACTAAAGTCAAAATATTCTATCAAACACATTTTATTCAAATTTTATTCTCGTAATAATAACCCAACTTAACTCAATAATACTATTTCAAAAATCCGATCCAAAATAACAAAACAAACACACCCTATAGATTTTATTCGACAATGGTGATGTGAGGTGTAATCGTGTCCTTTCATATTACATATACATTCAATGGTATATAAGTATCATCTAATAAGATTTATGTGAAAACATTTTACCTGAAAATTATTATATTATATTATATTATATATAAACATTATAAATTGAGAGTAGTAATATTCAAGCATAATACTACGCATACAATATTTTCCATACAACTTGATGTGATAAAATATAATTAGTTGATTTTAAATTAACAATAAACTTTCACCTAATCATCTCTTGCTACATTAGATTATATGATAAATATCGTATAAAAATATTATATGTGTAATATTACCCATTAGTCAAAGGTCACACTAATTTGTAAAGCAAGTATCATATTAATAATTATATGTAGTTATAAATTCATAATAAACTAAAATTACTTAAATCACGCTACTACGCATCTAAACCCTTTTTACACTAAAGTTTTGTTCGCCTTCAAAAGCTTTATTAATTTAGTTGTATACTCCAAAAATAATAAATAAGAGGGCACCTACAAAACCCAATAAAATTATTTCATACACAAATATTTTTTGTAAAGGTGGATCGAGATTGTAAAAATAATAAAATAATAATAGAAAAGGGTTTGTTAAAAAATAAAAAAAATAAAAAATAAAAAAAAACGTATACATGAGATTATTTAAGTAATTTTAAATTTTAATTGATGATGAAAAAAACTCTTTATATATATATTTGCTTAATCTTCATTTAATATAAGCAAAATGAGATTATTACTGTAGGAACTCAAAAAAGAAAAAAAGAAAAAAAAGTAACATGCTAAATTATAATTATATTTGTAACTGTTTAAAGTGTATACAATAATATAACATGTTATTGTCATGAAAACAGACTTTTTTTTTAACCTAAATTTTTTTTTTTTAATGATCGAAATGTTCATATTAGCTTACGCGCATCTTAATTAATCTTCTAAGGCTTTGGAACTATCGATCAAGTAAGAGTTCTAGGAGTTACCTTTATTACCAACCAAGGAGGGATTTGAAGTTATAATCTCTTAAGTAATATACTAGAGTCTTTATTGAACCATTTGCTAGTCATCTTAATTGAAAAATAAAATTATGTAAAAAATATTTCTGACTTAAACATATAATGAGGTGCATCACATAAACCCACAAAGTTTTATTGTTTTCAATCTAGTCCACGCAAGACGAGCCGTTACCAAGAATACCAGACAAAAGCAAACCGTGTCCGTATTTCTGCGCAATCTTCCAACACTTGACATCACTTCTCTTTACTCACCTGGTTTACTGATTTTACAGCACAACCCACTTCAATCTCCATGTTCCCGATGATTACGAAGCTCAAAAGTTGAACCCTTTAAGCTTCTTAAAGTAACAAAACGAAGGATGTCAGTGTCGTTTTCCCTTCACTCAACACCCTTCAAGCCTTCGGATTTCAAACCCTTCTCGCATAAGCCCTCTTCTCGTAGCTTCCAGGTTTGTTTCTTTGCTATTTTTGCTTCCTCTCAATTTGCTGTTGTGGGGTTTCTGTATTTTCATTTGCAAAAGCTGCTATTTTTTTTTTTTAATGTCATGGTCGGATAACATTATCGAATTGATATTTTATTTATAATGTTTTTATTATTAAATAATAACATAAGAACGATATTTTGATTACAAGATTCGATAATGTTGTCCGGATATTTGTGCTACTGCAGATGGCTTTTTATTATTGCTTGAATATTGTTATATAAATATTATTATTATTATTATGTGTCATGTGTATTTAAGTACTGTGTTTATTGTTTGTAAAACATTGTTATATAAAATGTATTAATGAAAGCAAAAGATTAATTTGATAAAGTTATCAATTCAGTATTGTCGTAAGATGGCAATGGAGTTATTCTAATAGTAATGGTTTTTGAGCTTCCTAAGTTTAGAGTTGAAGGGTAGTATGATTTTGTTATAATGTTGGTTCACTATTTATTGGTGATGATGCTGGATAGAATAAATACTTGTACCATTGAATATGAAACTTAATGATATGCAATATAGGACTTTTATCATTTTGAATGGTTGACTAGTAACATTAATTGTAAGACATGTAACCTTGAGCCTAAAATTTTGAAGTATGAAACATAAATTCGGATATCAATGTCGATTTAATATGGTTGGAGATTGGTAAGAATACTTAAGTTTTGAAAAATTTGGAAGAAATTGTTCTGTGAGGAAGATGATGAACGAGAACTAATCTAATGGGTTTCGTTGGTATTTTTAATTGAACCTTTTGAGGTGAATGAAATTAATGGCAGACTTCCTTGAAATGAAATGGTCTGTTTGCTTTCTAGGAAATGGAAAGAAAGTGAAGGAAAGTTAAGATTTTGAATTTACGGATTTTACAATTAAGGTATTGCCATTTTTCACTGTGAGAAATGCAATACCGTTGCTGCATATATTGTTAACACTTTGATCTTATAAGAAGCAAAATGTAAAGGTCATGAAAAATTATACAAGAGATTAATTGTCGAAAGAGAACTTTGAGATATCTTGACTGAAAGACAGAATTATATTATAGAGTGACATTTTCAATTTATGTTACTAAATTTAACGATAATTTTTTACTGTATCATTTCTACGTCAATTACTTTGATGTGTTAATTTAATTCTAGTTTTCTTTCAACCAGATTAGAGCATATCAGTTTGTTTGAATTAGTTTGTTTACAGAGTTTGTATGTGTAGTACTATTCTATATTGATCAATAGGCTGCCAGTTATGCAAAATGGGTACAATGTAACAAGTTTTGCTTAAATGAACTGTTCATAGACTCGATATGCTAATCTATGCTCATACATTCAATGTTCTCATTCTTTGTATGCAGTTTGTATCAAACAATGTTCATACAGTGACTGGTGGCCGTTTTGTGCTCTATGGAGGAGCAGCCAATATTTGCCAGAGATTTTGTGGCTTGAAACTATGGTTAATTGAGAGACTCAACCTTAAGCATGGCTATAGAAAGCATAGACTAGTAGATGACTTCAAGATTATAAAGAATCAAGATAAAGATCGGTTAGGTAGCCATTTTGAAACAAGTATATCCAGTGCAGGACTAGATTCTGATGGTGTTTCTGTAATATCCATGCCTAATGGTTTGTAATGATTATGCTATATATGTTGATTGCTTATATGATAATTACTGTTTTGTCGATCAATGTAGATTTATTTTGTTATGTGTTCTCGTAGTCATTTCAACTTTGGAAAAATGAATAACTGTTGTGGAAAACATAAGAAGCTCTGAATTATGGAATTTACAGATTCTGTTGAGAAATCGAGAAGAGCAACTTCACAAATACAATCACAGTCCTGGAACTTTCCTTTTGAGGGTGGTAGAGCACCTTCACTTTGCATTGCCGTTATAGGAGCTACTGGTGAGCTTGCTAGAGGGAAGATTTTCCCAGCATTGTTTGCTCTGTATTATAGTGGCTTTCTTCCTGAGGTATGACTATAATTTCTTTGTTTTTACTGTCTCTTTTACCTTTTGCCTGGGAACCCCTTTTGCCTTGTTTCAGCATTCTCCCAATGTTATTATAAGGAGAAACTGGGATAGTTAATAAATTGAATAAGAGATATTGTTTTTCTAGTAGACTAGTAGTAACTTGTATCCAAACATATACCCCACACTTTTAATAAATTTTGGCTTTTCTCCCTGTGGCTGCAGAATGTGGGAATCATTGGTTATTCAAGAAAGAACTTGACAGATGAAGACCTGCGATCCATTATAGCTTCAACTTTGACTTGTCGCATTGATCATCAGTATGGTTTTCATAGCACCTCTTAAATTCTTTTTCCCCACATTGAACCTTTTATTTTGGATCCTTTAGTTGATGAATATACACTCCTAGAATTCTCAAATGCAATATCCCCATAGTTTTAGAAGCTGCTTGCATGATTATAATTTGTTAATGGCAGCTTGAACCAGAGTTGGTATTCTTTCACACACGTATATTTGGAATCATTTTGGTGTATATAGGTGAATAAATCTAAAAAACGTCAACATACATCCATTGCTCATGGTAAAAGGGCAAAATGTTTTAAGCTGAAAGAACTGCAGCCAAGATGATGCATATGATGTAATAGTTCTTGTTAGTTTGATTGTAGAAATAAGAATAGAACTGATTCTGACGTTGCACATGTCTTTTAGTTATGAGTTAGCCTATTGAAGCTGTCTAATCTGACATTATTCATCATGAATTCTACAACTTTTTTCAGAGAAGACTGTGGGGACAAAATGGATGCCTTTCTCAGTAGAACATACTATCTCAATGGAGGCTATGACAACAGAGAAGGGATGTCAAAGCTTAATGCTTTGATGGAGCATATGGAGGTATGGTTGAAAAAATTCTTTTCAAAAAGGGATCACACGTATTTGTTCATTGAATTAGTTAGCTAATAATTAGAGGTTGCAATTTCAGAGTAAGTGCTTCAATAGTTTATTATGACTGTAAAAATAAAATCATTAAGAAATTCAAATACTGAATGAAAGTCCCCCATCATTTCTGTTAGGATCCCACATTGAGAGGAAAAATGGGTGGGCATATGGTTTATAAGGGCTTGGGCACCCTCCTTTGGCAAGCCGGTTTTCTAAATATAGTTCTATCCAAGCCCACAAAAGGACCACTGTCCAGCCTAATTCCTATCAAAAGGCCACTGTCCAGCTCAGGGCACCCTCCCTTGGCAAGCCGATTTTTAAAGGAGAGTTCTATCCAAGCCCATGAAAGACCCATTGCCCAACCCAATTGTTTGAATTGTTGGAGTGGGTTCCTATAAATTGGTATCCGAACATGATTTTGTACCTATGTGGCAAGCTGACCTTGGGGTTCTACCCAAGCCCATGAAAGACCCGTTGCCTAGCCCAATTGTTTGAGTTGTTGGAGTGGGTTCCTATCAGTTGGTATCTGAGCATGATTTTGTTCCTACGTGGGAGCCTGACTTGTGGTGAAGTCACCCAAGGGATAAAGAGGCTGACGTGGATGTTGGTTGCGGAAGTGTGGTGGAATGTTAGGATCCCACATTGGAAGGGAAAATGGTGGGCATATGGGTTATAAATGGCCGGGACACCCTCCCTTGGCAAGCCGGTTTTCCAAGACTCATTGCCTAGCCTAATTGTTTGAGTTGTTGGAGTGGGTTCCTATCAATTTCTTTTGGCACAATAATCTTAAATTTACCAGTTTACTGTTATTCTCCCACTTCTTTTGTCAAGTTCCAAACTTGGAGAAAAAAAGGTTTCTTCGCTGGGATGGACTAAAAACAAATAAAAAGAGATTAAAATTAATATGGTTTACGAGTTGTGCACTGGGGTATAACACCTGCTTTAGATCAAAAATTAAAATTGGCAGTATTTATACGAAAGAATCCTTTTTTGCATTATTATTTATTTTCCATATTCAATATGGATGCTTTCAATGATTGACTTTATAGCAGCTAAATTACCTCAGGGGGGATCTCAAGCAAACAGGATATTTTACCTATCTGTACCACAAGAAGCACTTCTAGATGTTGCAACTTCTCTGGCTGATAATGCACAAACCCAGAAGGGCTGGAATCGCATAATAATCGAGAAACCTTTTGGGTTTGATGCAGTGTCATCTCAGCGACTGGCGAACGCTCTTCTTTCTAAGTTCGAGGAGAAGCAATTATACAGGTGAGTAACACATTATTGGTACATTTTTATCAATATATATATGCATATATAATGTACACAGTCACAACCCAGATTTGGCATATCAGTAACACACTCTTTTTGTATACAAGTTATGACAGTGTTTGTAGATTGGTTAGATACAATTGCATTGGCTGAGATTACATCTAACTAGTCCTTAGGTGTGGACATCCATACATTAAGTATTGCAGACCAAGGACTAGTGACTGGTCACAACCTTTTCCTGTGCAATATCAAAACTGGCGACTGGTGGTTGCTAGCCTCTATTTGCTTGGTTTGTATTTTAGGTCCACACCTATCAAAAGCGGTGACCAGTAGTCGGTAGCCTCTGTTTGCTTTAGGTCTGCACCCAAGAATTTTCATACACTTAACATAGGAAACTAATGCACATTGGCAATGATATTTGTCATATGTAATCTTTGGTTCAGAAGTTGAGTTACAAGTTTTGTAACAGTTAAGGGGCAAGTGATCCCAACCCTCTATATATATATGTGCGTATTTACGTATATTATAGCTTTTTACTTTTGTTTATTACAGGATAGATCATCTTTTAGGAAGGAATCTCATCGAGAACCTCACAGTATTAAGGTTTTCTAATCTAATTTTTGAGCCATTATGGAACCGAACATACATACGCAATGTACAGGTAATTTACATCTTTAAATACAATGACATCGTTCAAATGTTTATTCCAGAATATACTGCCTATCCCTTAGCTGTTTTAATGATTTTGCAGGTCATTCTGTCGGAAGACTTGTGTGTGCAAACAGGAAGGTACTAAAAACTAATTATCTCATCCTCTTGTAATTATATGATAAAATCTTTTAGTAATTTTGTTCATTTTTTTATGCAGGTATTTTGATGGTTATGGGATCATTGGAGACATAGTACACAGCCATGTACTCCAAACAATAGCATTGCTGGCCATGGAGCCACCTATAAGTCTAGATGGTGAAGATATTCGTAACGAAAAGGTACCTGACCTTTCAATTTCTGCAAGATGATGAGTTTCGATTATAATTTCAGTGTGCATGGTCACGTTGATAAGAGGCTTCTTTCCAGGTCAAGGTTTTGAGATCAATCCGCAAATTGGATCCTAGCAATGTCATTCTTGGCCAATATAAAGCTACTTCCGGAGACAAGATTGATGTAAAGCTGAACAGTCTGACCCCTACTTATTTTGCCGCGGCATTACACATCGACAATGGTCGCTGGGATGGTGTGCCTTTCTTGATCAAAGCCGGCATGGGACTCATCAAACACAGGTAATAATTTGTACTTACTATATCTAGGAGTTTTGACCCCGTTTCTCATCAAATTAACAATATATTGCAATATATTGCAGGATGGAGATACGTATACAGTTTCATAATGTTCCAGGAAACCTTTACCTTGAGCGTATTGGACATAATGTCAACCTCGCCACCAATGAACTGATTTTACGAGATGTGCCTGATGAGGCCATCTTAGTCAAAGTTAACAATAAGGTTCCAGGATTAGGCCTGCAGTTGGATGCTTCAGAGCTTAATTTGCTCTACAAGGACAAGTAAGCACTTTTGGTGTCACCACTATAATTTTCATACCAAAACTTCTGTAATCTCCTTTAATGTCCTGAATATACATATCTTTTTAATAATTCGACTAGGTATAATGTCGAGGTGCCTGATTCATACGAACACCTTCTTCTTGACGTTATCGATGGAGACAACCATCTCTTCATGAGAAGCGACGAGCTGACCGCAGCCTGGAATATTTTAACCCCAGTTTTACAAGAGATAGACAAGAACAATATAGCACCGGAGCTCTATGAGCTTGGAGGTAGAGGTCCCGTTGGAGCGTATTATCTTTGGGCGAAACACGGTGTCCAATGGACTGAAGACTAGCAACACTTCCAAGGTCCTGTTTTCGACAACAAAAAAACCTGTTATAAGGTAAGTCTCGATATCATTCCACTTCCAGGACTAAAATAAATGGTAGCTTTGTACTTGTAAATCATCTTGAATTTAGTTCCTCATTCAGTGTTTGCTGGGTTCGATCGACTCTCGACCATAAGTTTTAGGATTTGGCATATAGAAATAGCTAATAATCTTGGGGTGTTGTTTTAAGTACACATTTGCTTGAACATTTGCTATCTCTTATAAGTTTTAGGGACACATTTGCTTGAATTTGTAACCACATTGAAAAAGCTAAGATAAAGTCTTTTAATCTATAAAGATTATTGTTTCATTATATTGATAAACATGTATTTGTATTGTAAATTTTACCTAATATAACGTCGTGTTTTTATTTTATTTATTTATTTTATAATCCTCGAAATGTAACATGTCATATATCGAATCTAACAAGTGTTATAAAATGGTGAATATTACCTAGACATCGTTATCTTTTATTTAGAAAATATCAACAATACTGTTTATCAGTAGGGTTTTGTGAATTTTAATAGTTTGATTTTATGAATCTATGGGAAAGTGGCAAATCTAGGTTAAAAACAATTTTTCAAAGGAGGAAATTAGGTTAATAAGTTATTCATAAATTGGAAAGAAGGCTATAAATTTATTATAGATTAATCTATATGGAGAAGAAAAGAAAAGAAATTTCTCCGTAAAAAGTAAAAACAAAAATTTTAATGGGAAAAAAAATTATTAAAAAAATCTCGCAAGAGGACTAGTAACATTATGGAACATATATTATATTGAAGATCTTAGGGGTGTTTGTCTAAACTTATAAGTTGGTCAAACTAGTTTATAAACTCTAAAATTAAGTTGAAAGAGGGAGGGGGGAGAGAGATACCTTTTTTTTTTTTTTTTTTTTTTTTAACTTATAAGCTAGTTTGACCAGATATCTTGTCACATTATTCTTATTTAATTTTAAAATTCTATAATATACATTTGTTTAATGTAATACCTTTTTTAATCATTTTATAATAAAATGTACTTATAAACCATATTTTACTGAACACGTCAATTACTTATTAGTGACTTTTAATCAAACACGTAATTATTTAAAATTTTAAATGTTTATAACCTAACTTGCTAATTTTCATCAACTCAGACAAACACTCTCTTAATCATTCATGTAATATTATTATCAATCGATATTATGGATATAATATATGCGGTCTTATGAACCTGATAACATTACCATTATTGGACCGACATTGTAGATATAATATTCGCGGGTCCCATGTACCTAATAGCAATATCGAACCGATATCGTAGATATCAAACGGGAGGAATGAAATCTTGGTTCTTTTGTAAAGATGGGGAAATGTTTGGTGATTTGGACACCGAGCCATTGCGAAATGCCCTAAAATAGTAATGGAATCTTACTCATAAATGTGATTTTTTTTTTTTCGAGATTTGTGCATCAGTCAAACAAGGATCCTCCAACAAAACTACAAGAATCACGTGAAGTCAGGCCCACTTGATCTTCAATTGTCGTTTTATTGGGCCCCTACAAATGGTGTCCCAAAATCTCTTTGATTTTTGCCTTTTTCTTCCCTTTGAGGTTAAAATTTGAAGCAATACTATACTTAGAAAGAAATTTTACAAAGATCTTCATACAAAATGATGTAACAAAAAATAAATAGAAAAGTGAATTTAATGAGTTTAACTTTTTGTTTTACTCTTCTATTCATTTTTTGTTACGTCACTTTGTATGAAAATCTTTGTAAGATTTCTTTGTAAAGTATTATGGTAAAATTTTCATCACTTATTCATATTTTGGACCTTTTCAAATATGGAGCAGATACTATGTGGATGATCTTAAACTAAGTGGTGTCGGTGAGTTTGATTATAATCATTAAATGATGTCAAAGACTATTTCCAATCTTAATTTTGGACACAAATGTCTTCGTATGTTTATCAAATAACAATTAACTCAATTGTATAAAATGACTTCTGTAACCTCATAAATCAATTTTTTGGACAAAAATGTCTCTCATTTAACATAAATTAATCTTAATTTTGTTATCATTTTACCCCTAAGTAATTAAATGTTTGGACAATAATGCCCTTATTATGAAAACTATTTACATGAATACCACCCAAGACACCCCAGCCACCTAAGACGACTGTCGACCACCACTGTTAGCCATCGTCAAAATGGCACATGATAGGTTGGATCTAGTAGGTTGTGCGTCGATCTGGCCATTTCCTAGAGTTGGTCGGAAACGGCTAGATTCAACCATTTGTGCGCCGTTCTGATGGCGACCAGTGACGTCCAACGGGGCAACAGAGATTTTGGGTGGCTAGGGATATTTTGTTAGATTTTAAACTTTTATTGTAATTGGGGTGTTTTAGCTAAATTCTTAAAAGTAATAATCTAAATAATAAAATAATTATAATATGATAATAATATTAAAAAAGAAAGGCAATTATCTCATAATTCTTTTATTCTCTCAACCAAACATATTAATTATTTATACCGACCAATTTATTCTAATCAAATCAACATATATAATATAACATTATCTATAATCTTCAAGGTAATTTATCTTACTGATAATTCTATATTTTTAATAATAAAACATTCCTGAAACCAAACGCCTCTCAGTGTCATCTTTTGAGACCAAAAATTTGATTGAAATATTGCTTATAACCAACTATTTATCTTCTTTTGATGGGATCATCTTTTAATAGTTCCCACAATAGTATATCAAAATCTTTTAGATTTTTTCCTTTTCTAGTCTTGGGTCATAATTTTTATAAGCTCTTTTTTTCAATATTATTAATTCAATTTTTTTTTTTCTAGCATTCCCTTTCAACAATGTTTAAGTTAGTTGACGTTGACTAATTGTTTGCCGTATTTTGATGGGAAAATTTTGATTGAATTTTTTTACTTTAATTGTCAAATGACATCAAAATTCTACTATTTGAATAACATTTTTGATCCATTATTTTTTTATTTATTTATTTATTTTTTTTTAGTTCAAAGAAGACTTGGAAAATTGAAGTGAAAGAAGCATAATTTGTTGGTCTTCTTAAAGACTTGACAAGTTGCTCAAATAATTTAGAAGTTGGGCCAAGAGCAATTATTATTGACTCTTCTTTTGGTCTTCTCTCATTTTCATTCTAAAATTTGATTCTTCAACCGAAATATTAATTAATATATAAATAACATTAAATTAAATACCTCTTATTTTGAGAAAATAACATTGTTAACCTTCGAAAATTGGCAAGTTAACATATAAAAAATATAATATAAATTCATGATAAATAATTTTTATTATGTATTTATATAGATTTGAATTATTTTTTTAATCATTAAAAGATCCTTTTACAATAAATTTTAGATATATATAAATAGACTAAAATTAGAGTAAAAAAATAAATTAAAATATCTCATCCTAAAATGCCCACCAAACATTCCACTAACAATCTTTTTTTTTTTTTTTCTTTTGCAATATGTGGTGTTTAGATCAACTTATGTGTACTTCAATTAATCATTTGAGACTTTAAAACTATCGATTGGGTAAAAACTTCAGTGATTATTCCTATTACTATTCAAAAAGAACTTCAGTGATTATTCCTATTACTATTCGAAAAGAAACTAAAACTCAATACATTTAAAAGTCCTTATCGAAATATTCGACTAATAAAGGTAGTTCAACTAACAATCTTCTAAAATTAGCTTTAAAGCCAATTATAATTGAGACAAATCACATCAATAATAATCTTTTTATTTGACAACTAAAATCTCAACCATCAAATTTCATTTAAAAAAATTGAAATATTCTTCCCATAGAAACGAATTTTTAGCTAGTCTTGGTTTGTCTCTTTGGATAGAATTCATGAACCTAATGAATGGCTATTATAATAAGAATTTAAGATTATTCCCCACATATATTCCCAAATAAATAAATAAATAAAAGAGTTGAGAGTTGATTGAGAATAAAAAAATTTAGGGCCTTAATGAATTTATTTACACTGAGGTTTTCTTGAGTAACAATTTCCCCCTTCATGTATGCGAAATAACAAATTATCCCTNGTGAAACTAATTGCATAAACTTGAGAATATAAAGTTCAACACCACTCAAAAGAAAATAAGTAACTCAACAATAGCTAAAGCAATTGAGGAAGAAAAAAACAAAAGAGGACAGTGAATTATCACATGAACATTATCCAACTAGACTAAGCATGACTTCAGTGCAAAATAAGAACAAAACTGCAAATTATATGACATTCGATCCAAGAAGTTCCTACAATGGTGAAACTAATTGCATAAACTTGAGAATATAAAGTTCAACACCACTCATAAGCGTAGATCATTCCACCCACTACAAAGCTTCTAAGTATCACTCAATTATAGACTGAATTACACCTGCTCCGACAGTCTTGCCTCCTTCTCTGATAGCAAATCTCATTCCTTGCTCACAAGCCACAGGCACAATGAGCTCCACAACCATCTTGACACGGTCACCGGGCATAACCATCTTAGACTCCTCGTCCTTATCGTTCATAATAGAAGTGACTTTCCCAGTCACATCAGTAGTCCTCATGTAAAATTGAGGTCTATAACCTGCGAAGAATGGTGAGTGCCTACCACCCTCTTCCTTCTTCAACACATAGACAATGGCAGAAAACTTAGTATGTGGGGTAATTGTTCCTGGCTTAGCCAGCACCATTCCTCTCTGAATATCAGCCTTCTGAACACCCCTAAGCAACAAACCTACATTGTCCCCGGCCATTGCCTCATCAAGAATCTTCTGAAACATTTCAACCCCAGTTACAGTAGTGTTTCTAGTTTCTTTCAACCCAACAATTTCAACTGTTTCTCCCACCTTAACTTTACCCCTCTCAACACGGCCAGTGGCCACAGTACCGCGACCAGTGATAGAAAACACATCTTCAATGGCTAACAAAAAGGGTAAATCAGTTTGTCTTTGCGGGATAGGAATATAGCTATCTACAGAATCCATAAGTTCATAAATCTTATCAACCCATTGATTCTCTCCTCTCTTAATAGCAGGATTAGCCATCAAAGCCTCTAAGGCTAAAAGCGCAGAACCAGAAATAATAGGTACATCATCACCAGGAAATTCATAAGAAGAAAGCAACTCACGAACCTCCAAATCCACAAGCTGCAAGAGCTCTTCATCATCAACTTGGTCCTGCTTGTTCAAAAACACAACCATATTAGGCACACCCACTTGCTTCGCCAACAAAATATGTTCTTTGGTCTGAGGCATGGGACCATCAGCACCAGACACCACCAAAATCGCACCGTCCATCTGGGCGGCACCCGTAATCATGTTCTTCACGTAATCAGCGTGTCCGGGGCAGTCCACGTGGGCATAATGGCGGTTCTCCGTCTCGTACTCCACCGTTGCGGTATTGATGGTGATACCACGCGCACGTTCCTCGGGGGCAGCATCGATTTCATCGTATTTTTTGGGGGCACTGTTACCCAAAGCGGCTAAGGCCATGGTTAAAGCGGCGGTGAGAGTAGTCTTGCCATGGTCGACATGGCCGATAGTACCAATGTTGACATGGGGTTTCTTCCGCTCGAATTTACCACGAGCAGCGCGGACGACGAAGGAACGGCGGCGTGTGGTGGTGGTTGTAGAAGAGGAGGTGGTAGTGGGGAAAGGGGGAAGGAAGGAAGAGGAGAGGGGGGTTGGGATTAGTTTTGTACGGAAAGGGGCGGTGGTGGGTAAAGAGTTAGAAGGAGAGGCGTAAGGGTAAGAGAGTTTTGGTGCAGTGGAGGATACAGTGGTTGCTGCTGAGGCAGAGATTGCCATTGAAGTGTTAGAGAAACAGAGTTGAAAAAGAAGAAGAAAATGAGGGTTTGAGAAACGGGATGAAAATGGAAGGGAAAAGAAGATTTGGAGTGTTATCTATTGGTCTGCCAAGACAAAAGAGGGCCTCATATGAGTTCTATCCAGTCTTGCCTCAGTGTTTTGAGAGATGGATGGGATATACCAATTCACAAGCTCTTACTTTGGGTCTCATGAGTAGTCTATGCAACTCTACTCATACGTTGACGCGTGTTCACCAATCCATTGGCCAAAATTCCATCTTTTTCAATATACTCTACTGAATTGAGAGAGGTGGTCTTCTGTCTCTAATACATGAGGCTCCTATTAAATGGGATTGGGGTTGAGGCTTATTGGAAAGTTACTTATGCATGGTTTAATGGGGGAGTGAAGTGAGATGGGTACCATTTGTATTAGTGATCCACCACCAACCCAACCTCTCCTTGTGCCGCGTAGTTCATTTAAGTTCTCTAATTTCAGCCAAACTTGGTCTTCAATTCCACCATAAGTTTTCTTATGATTTTAATTCAATCCACTTGAAATTATTACCTCGTTTCAATCTCTCAACTCGCAGTTTTATATATTACATCGACAAAGCGAAAAGAAGTCTGTCTTCCAGCAAATCCAACCCAACAACTGCATTACAGAGCCTTTTTTCACTATCTATTTCAAATCAATTTTATTTGGTAAAACATTCTATGGTAAGCAAGCTTTTAGGCATATGAAACAACCGAAAAACGTTTAGATACCCTAAATCAAACCTAAGAGCCAACAACTTGGCTAAAAATAAATAACAAACAAGTTATGGATTGTGGTACCCTTCAAATTCCAACCTCCATACTTACTCTGAACCAATTATTCCATTTTATTATGAACAACATAACTGCCAAACAGACATTCGGCAAGCATGCAACAAAAACAATTTAACTTTCAGTGAATCTTCATCCTTATCACAACACAAACGAGTCACCCAAAAATTGAAACACGTTTGCATTTCAACTGACAGTAATCTGAAACGGCTAGACTTGCGTATAAACTATATGTACAAGTGTACAATAATTCTTAACTCACCTTACTACACAAAAGTCCAGAGCAATCTCACCCCCCAGCAGCACTGCAGATTCGTGGAAAATAAAATTAGGTGTGGTTCTTTTGACATTCAACAAGTCAACTCTCAAAGACAAGCTGGGTTTCTTTTTCAACAATGTTCGAACCAGGCTATAAATTGGCGTTCCAAGCATATATTCCTCTTTAGTAGAACCTGTTCTCAAGGCACCAGGTACTGCTACTCATACTGCCAAACTTAATTGTCATGAGTAAAAATGTTTGAGCTTCCTGAAATACCTTCAGTGTTTATATAAGATGTATGATATTACCATTTATTTCCAAGTACCAGACGTGCGACGGAAACACTTCCAATGATACAACAGGGCTAGCATTTGCAAATTGGTTCAATGTAACAGTGTCTCACAGTCCAGCCTATATTCAGGAATCTTCAGCTGACATTCATCTAAAACCTTTTGACGAATTTCTCTGGAGAGTTCCTTCAGAAACTCTGATACAGCTAACTCATGCTTCCTCTTTAACTCGTCTACCTCCTTTTGCTGCTTTAGCAGTAGATGCTTGAGTCCCTCAACAATTTTCTTGACATCTTCTGATTGCAAATCAGAGATCCCACCATCTTCTTTTTCTTCAACATTCTCATTTTTGCAAGACAAAATTTCAACCTCCAGCTGTTCAAGCGATGCATCACCATTTGGACTGTGACCATCTCTTTTGCTATTAGGAGTTCTTTCATCATTTTCAGTCAATCTTTCTTCATGGTTGACAGCCAAATATGGCAGGTTTAATGTAACAGACATGCCTTGAGAGTTTTTACTCACTGCCTTGGGCGAGTCAGACCAGTACTTATGACCTGATGGCAATCTCTCCAATTGAAGGCCACCAAAAGACGGGATTGGCTCATTTGTCACAGGAGAAGTGTCATCCTTGGTTTTAAGGGAACATCTGTCAAAATTTGCAACCTCTTCAGAAAGACTATCCCCAGAAACTTCTCTAGGTTCCCAATCTGGAATATGAGTCCGAATTTCTGACTCGATCATTGCAGCAATTGTTGAGACATCTTGATCTGTCAGATTCAACTCATTAACCATTTCACTAGCAACAGAATTTGCTGTGTCTGCTGCAATATCAAATGGGAAGTGAATATTGCGAAAATGACCTGCACCATACAAACGACTTTCAGCTGGAAATTTATGAATGCTAACAGACAAATAATTTTCTTGATATCAAGATAAGTAAACTGATAATAAGCACACACTTGCACAGTGAGAGTGAGAAAGAACCTGTGAAATCTGCTATTCGCAGTTTAAGAAAAATAGTGTAATTGTCCCTCCTGTGACCTTGCACTGTAAAGTCCCTACTTGTCTCAGCCGGAGGATAATGGGCATTTCCACCAACTTTTACCTGACTAGAACTCCCAGCTGCAAATATTCATGAAATATGTAAGGGCCAAAACCTAAATGCCTTTGTGCTCCATAGCAGCATCATAATTTCAACATTACCTGAATGATGAATTTTGGCTTGTAAAGAACGACCTGTACTCTCATTTTCCTCATCTGGTTGGAGAAAGGGATCTCCCAAAAGTTCCTTGGCAGGTAACCGGTCAGAGACTTCTGCAATGCATTTTTCTATAAATGCTCGAACACCGGGATCTGTCACTTTTACCAATGATGCTGGCTTTATTCCCTACCAAGAAAAAAAAAATCACAGCAATGATTAAGAAGTCAACTTCGAATCTACAAGTGACCTTCAAGCTGTGGTACATGAAAAAATGAATGAAGAAATGAAGATAAGGATAAGAGTACAAGACACCATATTTAGATATCTAGAACTTCCTAACGTTCCATTTTCTATCAATCTTGATCCATTACAAGATTTTAAAGATTTCAAAACTATTTTACCTTTAAAAAGTTCTGCCAATTATAAAAACAATAAAGCTTTACCCCTGATTCAACTAGGAAAAAATTTTAGAACTCATTCCAAGCCAGCTGAGACCAGTGACTTTAGCATTTTGTTTATGTGATCAGTTAACTCATAAACAGATAAAGATTCTCTCCTTTTTGAGGTAGAAACAAAAAATAACTGGCTGAAAGGATTGAAGTTTATATAGACCAGAAGATTATTATAACAGTTTTCCAAAAGTTTGCTCACTTCTGCTTCAGGTATGGTTTGCAAAAGAGCACATATGTCGAACTTTCTCAGAATGAAAAGAAATACTGCTTATGGAAATGGCAACAACACATAAAGAAGGAATGCAAGATGGAACTATGAGCAAAAAGTAGAATCTTGACTAACCAGTGATAAGCCCTAAACATTATCCCAAATTTAGGCAGCATTCACAATCCTATACCTAACTACCCATAGACATAGTCAGGCATTTGCTATAGGATGGGCAAATTCAAACAATAATTTTTTTTTNGATTAATGAAGTATTCTGAAAAAAATGTGTTCTTAAACTACTTAGGCATCTACTATCTAAATATGATGACATGATATATACTACTTTCTTAACAAAGACTTTTGTAAGGATTAATACCTCTGCGTTCGCATTTAATGACAGGATTAACTCAGCTACACCAATGGCAGCAAATATAATTAGGAACAGGTACAAATGCTTATGGTTAGATGAACTCTTCGTGCAGAGTCTTTTATGTCAATCACAGATTGGATTGAACTCAGGTTGTATCTGTTATGAATCTAGTAATAATATGCAGTTTCACCAGCAGAAATGGCAGAATGAATTACCAGCTTGACATGGTAAATATCAACAGTATAGTCAGTTAAATGGTAACATACCTAAACAGAAACAAAGCAGGTAACTTTTACAGCGAAATTGTTACTGCCAGAATTTGGTAGACATGATGCATAGAAGTTCCGAGCTTCTACCTTCTGAAGCTGTTGGGATTTGGAAATTATGCTTCAAAAATGCAATTCGATGCATTTTGCAGTTGCTTTAGCCATGAGCGGCTTCAAATTCTTGTCGCAGCAAAGAAATTTAACTCATTGTCTAAGCAGATCAGAGGAAGTTTCTCTGGAAATTCTAGTGTATGTAAATTTCTGCGGTTTCGGTGATTGTAAAGAATACACTAACGTCAATCTAAGTAAATTTCTGAGGTTTCTCCTTCTTCCAGCTCAAACTTCTCATACTGTGAGTCTCCACTGTGCAACAAATGGTACCATCAAAATTATATTTGTCCTATGTGGTGAATTAATATGCCAAAATTTTATGGGATGCATGATGATTGCCACAAGATCCATCTGTTCCCCCAATTCATTAATCACCAATAGTCTTTGCACGAACACAACCCATCTTTAAAATGATGGAATCTATTAGCATCCCTCAATATTATCTCCCTCCCCATAACTTTTGCAATTAATTTAATAGCAGAATGGCAATCCCCACAAACCCGAAGATTTTTCATGACTCGGATGGGCATCCCTTCAGGCACCTTCAAAAGTCCATATGCCACAGCCAGTTTTTCACTATGATACCGCAAGCTATGCACTTTTTCTTCATCTTCCACATCATGCAGCACAAAACTACCGTCAGGACAATACCCGGCTTCTCTCAATAATCCTCCTAACTTTTCCAACATCTTCATGATCATTGCATGCTCTGGGTGGCTTACGCAGTCTGCACCAGTGAACATATGTACTTTCTTCTCTACCTCAATCCAACTACATCCAGGTGACTTGGTCACACTCCTTGCTCTCATGGTTTTTCTCAGATCTGCAACATCACGCCATCTACCTTGAGATGCATAAATGTTTGAAAGCAAGATGTAAGGCCCAGAATTTTTGGGCTCAAGCTGCAAAAGTTTCTTTGCTGCAACTTCAGCCAAATCTAACTTCATGTGGGTTCTGCAAGCACCTAACAACGAACCCCAAATAATAGCATCTGGTTCCAATGGCATTTTCTCAATTATCTTCATTGCTTCATGGACTTGACCAGCTCGGCCTAGCAAATCAACCATGCAGGCATAATGTGCAGTTTTTGGTTTCACTAGATTTGACTCCATTGAATCAAAAATTTTAAGCCCTTCTTTAACCTTCCCAGTGTAACTACAAGCTGAGAGAACTGCGACAAAGGTAACATCATCTGGCATGACACCAGAGGAGAACATTTCATGAAAAGCTTGTAAAACTTCTTCGCCTAAACCATGTTGGGCATAACCACTTATAATAGAATTCCACATAACAGTATCCTTTGTACCGAACCTGTCAAAAATCTGTTTTGCTTTTACAAGATCACCGCATTTGAAATACATTGTGATCAAAACTGAGGCAACATACACATCAAAATCGTACTGGGATCTCACCAACTTGGCATGAACCTGCCTACCATGGTCAAGACTTGCCAAGCTGGCACAAACTAAAAGAACACTCATCATGCAAGGGAAATTCACTCTAATTCCTTCTCTTTGCATCAAAGTAAACACCTGAAACACTTCCAATTCAAACCCCCTCTTCTCATAAACCTTGATCATCGCACTCCAAGTTGCATCATCCTTCTCCCTCATTCGATCAAACACCATCCTTGCTTTCCTCACTTCTCCATTCCGCCCTAACCCAAGAATCATTGCATTACTAGCAACAATTGACTTCATCGGCATTGTGCCAAAAAGTTCCCAAGCATCTTGTATCCTTCCACATTGTATATAACCCATCAACATAGCTGTCCACGATACTTCATTTTTCTCTGGCATCACTTCAAAAAGTTTCCTCGCAATATCAACTTTATTATTCTGCACGTACCCACTAATCATTGTTGTCCAGGAAATCACATTCTTTTTCGGCATCTCATCGAAAATCCCTCTCGCTTCATCTACACGTCCCTCTCGACAGTACCCTAATATTATATTCGTCCTACCAACAACATCCTTCACCGGCATCATATCATAAAATCGCCTCGCCTCATCAATGCGAGAATTTCGAATCAACCCACCTAACATCACAGTCCAAGATACCACATTCTTCTCAGGCATTTGCCAAAACAATTTTTCAGCCTCAACAATCATGCCCTCTTGAGCATAACCCCGAACCATGGCCGTCCACGAAACAACATTTCTCTCCGGCATTTTATCAAACACTCTCCTAGCTTCACTAACCATCCCATTTTTCACATACCCAGAAACTAAATTATTCCAAGAAATTATATTTTTTTCAGGCATGATATCAAACATATCCCTAGCTTTAATGGGTTGCTGGTTTTGGAAGTAACCGGCAATAATTGAGTTCCAAGAAACGGTAGTTTTATTAGGCAATTCATCGAACACCATACGTGCTTTCTCAATTTGGCCCGAACGAGCAAACTGAGAAATTTGAGAATTAGCAGAATTTACAATGCTAGTACAGTAAATTCTACGCGGGTTTAGCAAAAACTGCATTGATGATTACGAATTTCAAGAGTAGTAAAGTTTCAATTTTTGAAGGGATAAACGAGGCTGGGCTTTAGGTATTCTTGATGGTCATATAAGGTTATTCTCGGAGGGAACGAGAGTTAATCTGAGCGGGGAAGAAAACTAAACGAGGATTTGTAGTGATCATCTGATCTGACGGATAATATTATGTCATGATAGACTATTTAAAATCCAACGGCTATCATATGATAACATGCTAGTCCCTATTATTATTACGTGTCAAATAATCTATAACTTTATTTATTCTTATAAAAAGAATGTTTTTTTTTTTTTTTTAAATCCAGAAATTTCGGACTTCATTTTGTGACTTCGAGTTCAATTTTATGAAAGAGACCATCGTTTACTATTCCAAGAAAAAGTCTTTGTATTAATTAATTTAATGGGCAATGTTCTTTTGTGTCTTTTAACCAGTTTGCCTAAAGAAATTAGATTAATTAATTTACGTTATATATAAAACTATATGATAAAATAATAAATTAAATTAAAGCCCAAAGAATCCAATGAGTCCATCCAATAGGACCAGGTCTCATTTTGTATTTCGTTTTTAGTCAAAATTTAAAGATTATCTAATTTTATCATATGAGTCCATTTATGAGAATATGTTTACATTAACGTACGAAAGTATATATATTTCGTAATTCAGAGATTATTTATAAACTCATAGTTTATGTTGCAATGGCTTATTGACGATAGTATATTTTTTCTAATTTTGAAATCTAAGAGAGATTTTTTCTTTTACGTCAGACTTTGGGAAGTTTGATTTTTTTAACCTCAATATATCATAAGCTTATCTTATTGTACAAATGACAATGGATACTTATATTTAAATTTTGGAAGGGTAAAATTCAAGAAGGTGGTAGAAGCTACGGTGGTGGTGGTGGCGGCCCCACTGGAGGCAGGGGGGTGGCCGGTGGGTTTAGATGAAGGTGATAAAAATAGACATCAAGAGGATGTGACGAGGTCAGAAATGTCATGCTTTTGGGATCATTGCAATTATAGAAGTCAGGCAGGCTTTAATAAAATACACTTTTACATAATCACCATACTGTTAACAACGTTACAACACAATCGAAAGGGAAACATCTGCATATAAAACACTTCATGGCTTGCGCCAAAAGCTACCGTCTTCGCACCCATTTGGCTGGGCTTATGTACTGGCCGAGAATGATTAAACCTGCCAGAAGTTCATTAGGCCGAGCTTATCTACTGACAGAAGAAACCAAAAGTGGTACTTGGTGTAGAGTAAGCCATGGAAAGCACTTTTGAAGCTACAATTTGGTTAGCTCCTTCTGTGTAATGAATTCCATCCCAGCTGACAGATTTTGACCCTTCATCACAAGCCTTAGAACCAGGATTGCCACATGTCACATTTATGTTGTAGTTGTATGGGGGTCCTCCAAAGCCACAACATGCCATTAATGGACTTGAAAAACCTGCATAAATGATCTCAAATGAATCAAATTAAGAGTCTTGAGAAGGAGACTTTTGGTGAGCTTGATCATTTTCACTAAGGTCACATATAATTTAGTAAGTTTCATCAAATAGGGAAATATCATAATACAATGAAGAGGAAAATATGTATGCATGAGATAGTGAAATCCGCCATTGACGGGTAGGTAAAACGATAAGAAGGAAGCTTTTGAGAGGCATGTTAAAGATAATGATTGTTCTCCTAATAGTATGTTTATGGAAAGGTTTTATAAATCATGATCCGAGATAAATTTGGGTCATATATAGTCAATGCCTTTACCCCTAAAAAAAAATCTCATGATACAACAAAGAAGAAAATATGCATGCGTGAGATAATGAAACTGAACGACATAACCAAATTGTATGCGTGAGCTAGTGAAATCCGCTGTTGACAGTTAGGTAAAACGATACTAAGGAAGCCTTCGAGAGACATGTTAAAGATAATGATTGTTCTCCTAATAGTATGTTTATGGACAAGTTTTATAAATAATGATCCGAGATAAGTTTGGGTCATATATAGTCAATGCTTTTACCCCTAAAAAAAAATCTCATAATACAACGAAGAAGAAAATATGCATGCATGAGACAATGAAACTGAACGAAATAACGAAATCCACCATAACAATTGAGTAAAACGGTATTCAGAAAGCCCTCGAGGGTCAGCATGTTCAATATAACAATTGTTTCCTAATAGTCTTTCCCCACAAATTAATGATTCGAGATAATTTGATTATCAGGATAAACGAGGGTTAAGGCAATTTGGCTTACCATATTTGGTGGAGTTGGCAATGAGATCATACTTGATGGAAAATATATCTACATAGACTATAGTAGCGCCGTTCAATTCAGCCCTCATCTCCTGGCAAAGATGGCGTAATCCTTCATTGAATAGTCTCGCCGCGTCATTGTAACTTGAAATACATCCATAACGATCTAAAGCATTGTTCTTAACTAATGAAAGTTTCTGAGGGAGACAACCTAATGGTCCTGTGTTGTGTATCCAAAATTTCCTCCCTCCTTGATCATACAATTTCTGCAAATGCATATGACAAAACAGATTAATATTTAATAAGCCAAAAAGTCTTAACATTTACGGAATATTAGAATGTAAGCTATATAATCTTGGAAAATTGAATCATAGAAACTTAAATACACTTTTTTGTGTATGAAAAAACGAAACACAAGGAATTTTATGAAGCCGTACGTGTTCAGTTGACCTGTTTTCAGAAACAGTTTTTGAATTCGTCAGTGTAAAATCAGAAAACAAAAAAAGAAAAAAAGAAAAAGTCATTTTCTTGAATTTTCAATAGTTTTCAACTTTAAAAATAGTTTTCAAATATTATATCGAACACGTTTTTAAATATTAAAAACATTGAAATAGATCTCATTGTTTTATTTATGAGTAATACTAATCTTACAAAAAGGCATAGAAAGAGACAAATCTAGCCCTTAAAATTCATGATTGCCCCTCTCTCTCTCTCTTTTTCCCTTCTTTTACGGGCTGGATTTGTCTCTTTGTAAGATTAGTATTACTCTTTATTTATATCTAGTTTTTGAAACTTATTTTTCAAATCACAAGCTAAATGGATATAACTTCTAACAAAAATTTTGGCATTATGCAAGTATATGCAAAGAAAGTCTTTGGTACATCCTTCCAATCACTCTGCGCTTGCATGGCAAGCGTGTTAAAGTGATATATCTAGGTTGTACACTCATCTCACTGTAGAATTTTCAGTTTAATTTGTTACAAAAGTATGAAAATTAAACTCACCGTGACACCATTCTTAATTTCTCTGAGAACCGATGGAATTCTTTTGACAACTTGTGCATAAGTAAATTTTTTGGAGAATGAATCAGCAATGTCATTTTGTCCAATATCAATGAAGTAAAGTGCATTTCTGAACCCATCTTCGTTGATGAAATCAGTTGAACCTAAAAACAAGTTCAACAGTTTAATTAATAATAATCTCAAAGTGAGAGAATTCCATTAAAAATATTTGGATGAGATTTGATGGTACTCATATAATATGATTGCGGTTCCTGCCTATTCGATTTATGATTAAAAAATAATTTATAAAAAACTATGATAGTGTTTGATGTAATGTCAAAAACTGTTTTTCAAATTTTGAAACAAAAACCAATTGAAAAAATGGAGAGAAAACAATTTTTTTTTTTAGGTATCCAAGGTATTGATGGATCCAAGCCCAATATTTCAATTAAGTATAGACGTAGGGCTAGAAAGGGACAAAAGGGGTAATTTGGTGCTATAGACAGGTGACAAGGTTAGTTAGGATTTGGTGTCAGATAAAAAGAGAGCGTGAGAGTGTGGGAGGATATTATGATTTTTGGTGTTGATGTGTGTCCTGGGAGGTGCTGGCCTTGAAGACCAGTCTGTCTCTTTTTTCATTTGGCTTCATTTGTTTCTACTACTTTCAGGAATATTACATGAATTATTATTCTCAATTCACTTCATTCCTCTACTCAAAACTTACTGATTTGTTGCTGTTATATTGGCTTGCTGCTGTGTGCATTTGAGTGTGTTTTTGTGAGAAAGTGTAGGTTGAGTCTGGGATTGTGTGTGTGAAAGGGAGGTATTCATCAGGTATGCAGGTCCTAATCTCGAGGGCTACGAAACATCTTACAAACCCGATGAACCAAGGTAATTGCACAAATGTGATAGGTATCCCTCTTGCGACTCGAATACAAGATCTCCTAAGTATAGTTAACCTTAGTGGCTAAAGGGTTTGTCATTCGGCCATAAGGAAAGAGGTTAAAAAAAAAAAAACAATTGTTTTTCATTTTCCGAAAACTGGTTTTAGAAACATTTCAACCAAACACCTTTTCAGATAATTCCTCATATTTCTTGTTTCCTAAGTTGAAACTAATGCATTGTTTTTGTTTTTGAAAATAAAAGATATAAGAAATTTTTATGACAATGCATTTGTTTGCAATGAGTTAAAAATATTTTCAAATACAATTTTTAAAACTACTATAAAATCACCAAAAAAAAAAAGGAAAAAAGAAAATATCGACAATTTTTTTTTTTATGATTGGAGCCTGGAGGTGTTCAAGTCAGTTTACGCACATCTCAATTAATCTCTCGAGACCTTGAAACTACCGATCGGGTAAGAGCTTAAATGATCACTCCTATTAGCAGCTTAAGTGAATCGAACTCATGAACTCTTAAATAATATACCCAAGAGTCCTAATTGACCACTCGACCACCTAGTGATGGTTATCAACATATTTCTCCAGTAACATCATCAAAATTATTAGCTAAAAAAATTAATCAACAAAGAAAGGACTAATATATTCATGCAAAGTAATAAAATGAGAAATTTACCAGCAGTAACAAGCTGAAGAGTCCTGTCCTTGAAATGAAGAAATTGCATAATTTGAATGGTCAGTGAAAATGGAACATTTTTGGGGAGAGTTGATGATCCCGCGATTGCAAAATTTGCTCCATTTTTGAACTTTGAATCCGCCAATGAGTCCAAGTATGGACTTAGGAAACTCGTATTCACAGTTTGGCCTGCACGTTAAAAAAAGAAATAAAAAATCTGAATAAATATATAACATAT